TGCACTGCCAGCCTCAGCAGCTGCCCCCATGTGATCTCCCCCCAGGCTGGCTGTTTGGGGCACTGGAGACAAGATGGGGCTAAATTGGGGTGGGGGAAAATACAGTCCGGAAGCCCCAGCTGCTGGACAGGGAGGGCGGCTCTTGACCTCCAGACCAGAGTGGTCAACAAGCCACCCAATAGCTGCACTAGGTGGGCCTGATGCTCTTTTGCAGATGTTTAGATGATCTCTAGGGAGGCTGGCTGGGGAACTCTGGGAGTGAGACCCCCTGCTCCGAAGGGTGATTGATGAGGGTCTGCTTGAGTTGCACAAGACAGCTTGCACGCCTTCACCACCCCATCTTTGGTTCACACCACCAGCCGGGATGGCTTCCATGCTTGCTTCTTTCTCTCTTTTGCAAGGCTGGCTTAGCACGTTTTGTGGATTTTGGCAACACCCCTAACAAGGCCCAGCAGGACTGGGTGGTTGTGGGGATGGAGGCCGAGTGTGAGGATGCAACGGGAAGCAGACTCTCGCGTGGAGCCATCCTGGGCTTTATTCGTTCGGCCAGAATGAAGTTAGACGGTTAACCTCAGCCCGGCATTCGGCGTGTCATGGAACCCCCAAAACTGGGACAATTCAGTCATCAGACTTATTGATCTGGGTGAGCCCTGATTCACCTGGGCCAACTCTTAGCAGCTGATGTGGCTTCGGTCCATTGGAGCCGCCTGTGGTCCAACAGGCAAGTCAGAAAACGGCATCAGCTCCGTTTCTCCGTAGAGGCCGTCCTCGGCTTATGGCCACACCTGAGCCCAAAATTTCCATTTGGTTAAGTGAGCTTGCCTCCGTTTTACGACCTTTCTTGCCACAGTTGGTAAGTGAATTGCTATAGATGTTAAGCAAGTAAAATAGTTGGCAAGCAAATCGGGCTTCCCCCATTGGCTTTGGCTCATCGAAAGGTGGCGAAGGGGTCACATGACCCTGGGACACTGCGACCGTCATAAAAGTGAGTCAGTTGCCAAGGCTCTGGATTTTGACCATGTGACCATGCAGGGGGGCTGCAACGATCGTTGTGAAAAATGGACATAAGTCCCCTTTTTTCAATGATGTCCTAACTTTGAACGGTCACTCCGTGAACTGTTGTAAGTTGAGGACTGCTTGTGTGCAGCTGTGGAGCCATAAGCCGACTGGCCGGATGGGAGCGGTCAGCCCATCTGGCTCGACCCCCCAAGAGGCTCCTCAACAAATGCAGCTCTTCAGCTGCAACTGGGGGGGGTGGGCACCCGGCCTCGGATAAGAGCCCCCCCACCATGATTGTGCTGGGAAACAAGCTGCCTGCTCCCTGCCCCCCCCCATGAGGGAAATGGGTAGGTAGGAAGTTTGATATATAAATAAACAGAGATGATCCAAGGCCTGGAGGCTGAATCATGGGAAGAACGGTGGCAGGATTTGGGTATGGCCAGTCTAGAGAAAAGAAAAAATAGGGGAGACAGGATAGCAGTGTTCCAGTATTTTAGGGGCTGCCACAAAGAAGAAGGGGGGTCACGTTATTCACCAGAGCACCAGAGGGCAAGACAAAAAACAATGGATGGAAACTGATCAAGGAGAGAAGCAACCTGGAATTAAGGAGAAATTTATGCTCAGTGAGGACAATTAACCAGGGCAACACCTTCCCTCCAGATGTTGTGGCTGCTGAATTACTGGATGTTTTGAAGAAGGGGCTGGACAGCCACCTGTCAGGAATGGCAGAGGGTCTCCTGCTTGGGCAGGGCTTTGGCCCAGAAGACCTCCAAGGTCCCTTCCAACTCTGTTATTCTGTTAAATAATATAAATAAGTAAATAAAATAAATAAATGCTGCCTTAGGGCCCAAGCCAGGCTTCCGGTCTTTGCAGACGCTGAGGTGTTAAACCAGGGGTAGGCAACCTTGGTTCTTTTATGACTCGTGGACTTCAACTCCCAGAATTCCTGAGCCAGCATAGCCAAGGTTGCCTACCCCTGTGTTAAATGGTTGTACTGGCACCAGCAGTGGAGTTGCCACATGGCCTCACTGGGCGCACAGCGGAACAGCACACAGATTCCTGCCTGCCCTGGTGCCCGGCTGGCAGCAGCTATGCCCACAAGGCATCCGGATCCAGCCAGTACAGCTACTTTGGGGCTGGGCTGTCAGCTCCATCGGCTCCTGCCTCTTCATCTGTCGCCCACCGGTGCCCGGGGAGGGAGGCCGAGAGATGCCAGCTGACATTGGAGCCTGTCGCTTCACACAGCTCAGCTGAGCTGCTGTGACATCCAGGAGAGGGAGCGTCTTCTCAGGGCAGGAGTGCCCAAGGCCGGTTGATGCCCCCGTTTCTCTGCCTCCTGAAAGACGGGCTGGGCCACGAGATCTACTTTCTCACCGGCATCCCAGTGCTCCAGCACGTCCAGAGGTTGCTGCTGTGGAGTCCTTCTGCCCCAAAGGATGCTGGGCACGTTTTGAGCCACATAGAAAGTCACTGATGGGAGAAGAATGAGGGGCCACTTGGGGGTGCAGAGATGGGGGGGAAGGAAGGTGCCCAGGCAGCTCAAATGGATGGAATGAGCAAGAGAGGCGCCTTTTAGGAAGGACTCAGCCCTTCTCCCCCTCCCCACTGACGGAGGCTGGTGGGAGCTCATCTTCGCAGATGGAGGGAGATTCTGGGGCGAGGCGAAGACCGCCTCCCTCTCCCTTCTCCTCTTCCTCTGGGGCGGGGGGGCTGGTTGGGACTCCTTTGCCATTCCGTGACCTGGGGTGTGTGTGTGAACGGGCTGGCACTCCCCCTTGCGGCCTTTTCCAGACTGGCATGACGCTCGGTTCCTCTGGTCTCAGCCAGCAAAGCCCCCGGCCGGCCACTCTGACCAGGCCTAGGCAGGCCGAGGAGGTGGGTCTGCACCCCCTTGGTGGGCCTTCTTCCCCCTTCCAGCTCACCTCAGCCTGTTTGGGAAATGCGGCCACAAACCGGCTCCATCCAGCAGGGAGGGCACTTGCCAGGCTGAGGGTGAATTCTCGTCTCCACTTGCTGGAGGGGCCTCCCTGGACTCCGGAGTGCTGCCTCGCCTCCCTCCCTCTGCCTGTCTGCTTGTCTTGCTTCTCCCACCGGGCTGCATCCCCCTTGGGCTTGCAGGGTCTCCTCTGATGGCTCACTTGGGTCCTCCAGGGCTGGGGGTGGCTGGGGGGCCTGCCCAAAGAGCCCCTTGCTCTAGATGTAGGTCTTTCTGGCCAGTTGAGAGCAGCCAGGCATCGGGGTGGACACCCTCCCTCCCTCCCTCCCAGAGTGGCCCTGAGCATCGCCCCTCTTGCAAGGGGCGGGGGCAACTAGGGGGTCTGGTCAGCCCAAAGTGGCTCAGCTTGAGGTGACAGGTGTGCAACTGCTTAACAGTGCCAGAAATTGGAGGAGGGGAATGTCCACTTGCTGCTCTGCCTGTAGGGTGGTGGCCACACATCAGTTCTGGCCTGGGAGCGGCTGCTCTGTTGCCTGTGTGCGGAGGCCCTATGTGCACGATCTCCCCCCCCCCTTGCTTGCCTGCTGCCTTGCCTCCTCCACAGCCCCAGTTCCTGTCCTGGTTCCATCCCTCTTGCGTTGCTCATTCGCTCCGCTTGCCCAGCGCACGGAGTGCCCCTCAGGCCTGGCCCTGGGAGGTGGGAAGGAGATGCCACTCTCCCTCTCCCTGGCATGAGGCAGCCCCCTTGCCTGTGGCCGGCCAGGGGAAGGAGGCGGTCTGTCCGTCCCTCCTTGGGGGGCCCCGGGAGGGGGTTCAGTTGTGGGGATTCCCATGGTGCTGAGCAGGTTAATTTCTATTACTGCGTCTCCTCCGGGACTCGGCTGGTTTTGCATTTGACTTGCATGTTTTCAATTGTGCATGAACGTGTGGGTGGGGTGCACGTATGAGGAGGCAACCGGGGCAGAAGAGAACTCTTTCCTCCCTGGCTGGGGTCCTGGGGACAATCCTTGCTCCGTCTGAAGCCGGTAGGAGTTGGGTGGAACCTCCCAGGAGCAAAAAGGGGAGGTTCCCGCAGAGTCCGCCTGACTCTCCCCCCTCCCCTCCCCCAGGTGCTTCCTGCCGGCGGCGAGACTCACACCGAGGCCAATGTGGGAATTCCTGCCGCCGTCGCTGCTGCTGCTGCTGTGCCTGTCCCCGCCGCCGGGCCCTGCGATGCCCCTGCCCCCTGCCCGGAATGAGTCCGGCCCGGACCCGCAGAGCCCCGGCCCTTCCCCGCCCCCCCCTGCCGCCCCCACCCTGCTGCCCACCCACAGCGAAGCCCCCGCCCTGCGGCTGAACCTGGGGCTCAACTTCCAGGTGAAGGTGCGCGGCCAGGGAAAGGGGCAGCCCCACGCAGGGTCCCTGCCCCGCAGCCAGCCGGACGCCCCTGCCCGCTCCCCGGCCGAGGGGGGCTCCGCGGGCGCCGGCCAGGCTGCAGAGCCGGTCCCGGGTTCCACGGCCGGCCCGAGCTCCTCCACGGCGCGCGCCCCTCCGGGCCCCCGGCCCTCCGCCCGGCCACGGGATCACAGCAGCGAGCTCGGGTTCCAGGTGGAGATCGGGCTGAGCGCCGGGCTGAGCCAGGAGCCCGGCTCGGTGCTGGGCGGCGGCGGCGGCGGCAGCCTCCTCCCTGCCCTGGCCGACGCCTTGGGGATTGCCAGCCAAGGTGGGGCCCCCGGTAAGTGCTGCTGAAGACTTTGGGGAGAGGGGGGCGGGGGGGACGCGCTAATGCCTGTCCTGGAAAGGCCGGGCCAGGGCGCGTCCGGAGCCGGCGCCGGGGAGCCCTGCGGTGGCCAGCGAGGGGCCCCGCAGGAATGGCTGGAGCTCCGCCAAGCCCTGGGCGATGTTGGCTGGAGGGGCAGAAGAGAGAGACGCGGGGCTGAGGCTCTGGCCAACTCATCCTGGGGGGAGAGTCCCAAGCCCCCCTGCTGATCTCTTCCACGGGGTGGTCCTTCCTTCAACAGGGCTCTTTGGATTCACCCTGCCTCCGGAGCTGTGGAAGCCCCCCGAGTGGAATGTCACCGGCAGCCCCGTGGAAGAATCTGAGGACCCCCACCCCACTGCTGAAGTGACCCTGGGACCAGGTAAGAGTATAACTGGGGGGGATGGGGCAGGCTGTCCTAGGCCCCCTCCCTCCTTTTGGGGGGCTCCTCCTGGTTGTCAGTCTTGCCTTCCTCCAGGGCTCCTGGGGGGGGGAGAGGACCGGGTGGGGGAGCTGCCATGCACTGGGTAAGAACGTTCTCCAGCAACACAGCCGGACGCCTGGCTGGGAGAGGGAGCCAGAGATGGCGGGAGATTGGTCTCCTCCTTGAATGTTTCTCTGGATTTGGATGGCGGAGCAGCCAAGGGTCCTCTGGGCCACCCCCCAGGGCCCGTCTTCCTCCAGGGGTCCCCCGGGGGTCCCCCGGAAATCTTCCTTGGTCTGGAAACCAGGCCCTGGAGGTCTCCTTGTCACCTGACCTTCAGGGAGGTTTCCCAAGAAATCTGGTTTAGCAGTGACTATGAACAGCCGTCAAATTTGCTGAGATTTTTAAAAATAATTTGTATTAAAGCGTTTTTTGCAAAGTTAAAAGATTAAATAAATAAAGTTAACAAACAATGGAGACCAAAGGGAAAAATTAAACCTTAAAGAAGGAACTTCCGATCTTCTCCACAGCAGTTACATGCTTAAAGCTGCTTCCTCCCTTCTGAATTAATAATGGGGTTCCTTCTCCCCTTTATTAATTGGCAATTCCACAAATCGCCAGTTCATTTTTACCCATTTTCAGCAAAAAGTCCTTTAAAGTATTCTGATATAAAAATAAAAAAGTGAATTTAGCCATTTCTGCCAGTTCTTCATCCTCCATTCCTCCATTTTGTGTATTTTTCCCTTCTTCTGTCTTTGTATGTATATTAACTTGACTGCATCCAGGGGCCTCTCCTGACTGACTATCCATAGGTCCTAGTAAGCGAAATTCTACTTATCAGTTTTTAAAACTCTGAATCCTCACTGCTTTTTAATAACTCCACCTTACATGATAAAATGTCCCTTCGCGCTTTTTTACATTTCCGAGAACAATTGTAGGAGGATTTTGTTGGGATTTCTGGTAGCGAAGCAAATGCGCCTAGATTACCTGCCCCCTCGATTGCTTTGCACCCGTGTAGTTGTGGGAGGGGGCTACGAGGGGGGGCTGCTCTCCATGCAGGAATTTCCTCAGGATGTTCGAGCAGGACAGAAATTCCCGGGAGCCTCCAAGTGAGAGCAAAGTCCTCTTGAAAGCTTCAGAATGTTGGATCTGAATTCTCAAGTTGGATCTCCTGGAGGATGTGGGATCTGGGGGTGTTCGTGCCCCTAATTGTTGTGGTCCTTCCATGCAACAACGCTAGAGTGGGATGGGTTGTGCTTGGGTGTGCATGAAAGCAGGGAGTCCAATGCAGGGAGGAGAAAGAAGGGACAGAAGAGGGGAGAGGGGTGGGGCTGTCTGGCCTGCAGGAACCGCCATCCAAAGCCTCTTCTGCATCAGCATCAGCGTCAGCGTCTCTGGTCACCAGAAGGCCTAGGGGGCAAGACCGGCTCTTTGGCTGGCTGCTTTCCAATGCCTGTCTCGCCCTTTGCCCCTGTTACCCTCAAACATTCCTCCCTGGTTCCGTCATGGAGCCGGGGGAACAATTTAAAAGAATCTCTGATTGTTTATGTAGAATGTAGATTCAGCTGCCCATCTTAAGCGCATAACTCTGGGCAGGGAACGATAAGAGAACCCACAACCCATGAAAATAGTCTGGTCCAAGGACATACCAAGTGAGGCTCCACCTGGCATGCAGCGTCCTAACAGACAGGCGGGCACACGTCCTCTTCTGGGCCTTACCCACCAAGGGAAGCAGCTGCCCTTCTCCTGAACTCCACTACAGCCCTGCTCATCCTGGGCGATGGGTGTCAAGGGGCATCAACTTCAAAACAGGCAGCCGGTGCCACCTCAGGTGCCCAGAGCTGGCAGAGGAGCGCCACCTGCAACCTTGTCACTGCAGGCAGGAGCTGTCTCGTGAGCAGCCTGATGGAGGATGGCAGCCCCTACTTGGCTGCTCCAAGGGGAGGAGAGCGTCCCTTGAGCCGGGCGTTTGTCTCCTTGTGTGTCTGGGAGGGAACAGGGACGTCTCGAGTGCCAGGAAGCAAAAGTGAAAAATGCGGAGGGACGAGGCAATCCAGAATATTTGCGGCTGAGCAGGATTGTCCATGCTCTGGCCTCTTCTCCCTCGAGTTCCCTGGACTCTCTTGGGGGGGGCCACTCCCATGGGGGGAAGTTCTCTGACTCCACTGGACAGATGCGGCTGAAGGTTCCATGGGCTGCTTCCATCATCAGAAGCACCTGGCAACCTTGGAATGCAAAGTCTGTTTAAGAACCCACTTTACTGGGCAGTCTCCAACATTCAGAGATGGATGCTACCAGCAAGCCTCACCAGATCCCCCCGGAGATGGGAATCTATGCCGAAAAGCACAACATCTTCCAGATCATGCAGGGCCTGATGGAAGCCCTCCTTGTGGCCCGGCCAGCCAAACCCATTGACTTCATGATAGAACACCTCAAGAAGAACAATGAAGAGGTGCCCAGGGTCTTCATTGTGGGACCCCCGGCCTCTGGGAAGACCACCATCGCCCGCTGGATTTGTAAGCACCTCAGTGCAACATATCTTTGCCCCAAGGAGCTCGTGCGCATCAAGCTGCTGAAGAAGGCCAAGGAGGCCGAGGGCTATCAAACACGTGGGGAGAAGATCCCTGATGAGCTGTGGGCTTCTCTCCTGCAGGAACGCTTGAGCGACGTGGACTGCGAGACCTTGGGGTGGGTGGTGGATGGCTTCCCCCAGACCAGGAACCAGGCCCTGGAGCTCCAGACCCTGGGTGTCCTCCCTCGGCACCTTGTGGTCCTTTATGCCCCAGACACGGTGCTGATCGAGAGGAACCTGGGGAAGCGTGTGGACCCTCTCACCCAGGAGGTGTACCACACCACCTTTGACTGGCCGGTTGACTTCACTGTGCAGAAGCGCTTGGTAAAACCGGAAGATACCTCCGAGCAAGCCACCGCTCGGCGGCTTTTGGAAAACCACCGCAACATGCCTGGCATTGTCCAGACATACCAGGATTGCTACAAGGCTATCAACGCCGACCAGCCTTGCGTTGATGTCTTTGCCCAAGCGCTCAATTTTGTGCAGAGTCGTCCACGGTCCAATGCCCCCTTCACTCCCCGCATCCTGCTCCTGGGTCCCCCGGGCAGTGGCAAAAGCCTGCAGGCAGCTCTGCTGTCCCAGAAATATGGGGTGGTCAACATTTTCTTTGGGGACCTCCTGCGGGAGAAAGTGGCTGGGAACACAGGCGTGGGCGAATTCATCAAGCCTTTTTTCAAAATGAGGTGCCCTGTGAAAGACAACATCGCTCTGCACGTCCTCAAGGAGCGTCTGGAACAGGATGACTGCCGCACCTATGGATGGGTGCTCCACGGCTTCCCTCGTGACGTGGACCAGGCACTGCTCTTCCGGCAGATTGACGTCGAGCCCAACCGAGTCTTCTTCCTCAACCTGCCCACCGAGGTAGGGCTGCAGCGCATCTGCCAGCGTGCCACTGACCCCATCAGCGGAGAGAGATACCACACCATCTACAAGCCGCCTGTGGATGAGGAGGTCCACCAGCGCTTGTGCAGGCACCCCAAGGATGACCCTCTCCAAGTGGAGCGGAAGACGGACATCTACAGCCACAGGCTGGCTGAGCTGGAGGAGCATTACGAGGACTCGATTTGTCTCAATGCAGACCAAGATCCCTACACCGTCTTCGAGTACATTGAGAGTTGCCTGGTCAAGCCTCTGCCCATCTGTAAGCTGTAACGCCAGAGAGGTGACCCCCGTGGCTTTGCCAGCACTGCCCTGGCAGCAAGCAGCAGGGCATGGATGGCAAGGGGAGGGCAATGTGTTTAGCAGTGATGGGAGAATAAAAATATTTTGTTTTAACGTGGAAGCCATCTCTGCTTCTTGTTTAAGAAATGCCTTGCCCCTGGGTCAGCCATGGTGCCCGGGTCCTGCAAGTCACTGCTCTTGGTGCCCACCTCTGTCAATTGGCAGCAGGCTGGGTGTCAGAAAAGAGCCTCGTTCTGCCTTCCCAGGCCTGAACTAATGTCTCCCAGGGATCCTGTGGTTCGTAGTGGCACGTTTTGGATACCTGCCCTACAGATTAGCCTGCTCTGCCCCCTGAGGCCCCAAAGGGTTGGGCCCAAGAAAAGGGCACCTCCCCCTGTCAGCAGAGCCCGGTCCAGGTGAGGCAGTTTCTGTCCAGTTGACAGGGAAAAACAGGGCTGATGGAATTACAGCTGGGAGCTTCTGGCTACCCTTGCCCCTCGGTGCCCCTCGGCCCCCATTCCTAATTTTGTAGAGGGAGGGGCAGGTGACCACAGAAGAGTGGGAGAAGTTTTCCAAAGGGGTTTGGTTCTGGGTCCCCCGAAATTTGCCATGTCTCCCCAGTTAGGCTGTGCTGCTGCGGACACAGCACTCTTAGGGGTCCAGCTGCCACAGAGGTAAGTGAGGACTTGCCCTTGGGGTGGGGGAGGGAGCTGAGTTTTCCCCATTTGGCTGGCTGGTGTGGAATCCTCAGGCCCCCCGGTGGTCTTCTGCCTGTCCAGGGCATCTGCTCCATTAGCAGAGGGTTTGCTCTGCCCTCAAACCTTGGGAGGGGGGTGGATGCTTTGAGAGCCCTTGGGTATCTCCAGCTGGCCCTGGGTGGGCAAGCAGGCCAGGCCCCTTGTTCTCCTTCTCCCCATCTCCCAATTAATGGAGTAACAGAGTTGGAAGGGACCTTGAAGGTCTTCTAGTGCAAGGGTCTCCAACCGTGGCCACTTTACGACTTGTGGACTTCAACTCCCAGAATTACTCAGCCAGCCATGCTGGCTGAGGAATTCTGGGAGTTCAAGTCCACAAGTCGTAAAGTAGCCAAGGTTGGAGACCTCTGTTCTGGTGCAACTCCCTGCTCAAATGGCTGTCCATCTCTTCTTAAAAACCGCCCGGCTGATCTTCCACCTGAACATAGCTGGGAAGATCTGTTTGCTTCAGCTCCTCCATCCTTCACGTGGCCTCCTGGCCAGCCACTTAAGGCGGAGGATCCCCTCGTCTGGGATGGCCCCTGCTGGATCTCATCTCAGAGACTTAAGGAACGCAATGGCACAACACGGGAGAAGAAGCCCACCAGGACCAGCCCTCCATCCGCATTTGAAGGAGAAAGGCCGCTCTTTCAAGGACAGCAAAGTCCACATTCTGGACAGAGAGGACCGCTGGCTTGAAAGAGGGGCCGAAGAGCCCGTCTAGGTCACAACTGAACAGCTCTCTCTCAACAGAGGGGGAGGGATACGACACCAGTCTACAACACTGTCCTTTCAGCAGCTCCAAGAAGGCTCCACCCCCATTTGCACCACTCAGGTGACCCCGAGGACACAGATAAGCCTCCAGGTGGCCTCAGTGACTTTCTAAAAGAAAGCAAATGACCAGCTGTCTGCAAAGGAATATAAGTCCTTCCATTCCCCGCCATCCAGTCAGAGCTGAAGAAGCTTGTTGGAAGAGAAGCAAAACGTCTTCAAAGAGAAAAAAGAAAGTCCACTTGCCTCCTGAAAAAGCATCTTGGGGACAAAGTCAAGAACTACCTATACTTAAGATCCAAATCTGAAGTTACAAAGGCCTGTTTCCCCTCCCCCCCATGATCATGTGACCACATTTTGGGCACTTGGCAACTGGCTGATGCTTATCAGACTAGAGGTGACATGATAGCAATCTTCCAATATCTCAGGGGCTGCCCCAAAGAAGAGGGAGTCAAGCTATTTTCCAAGGCACCTAAAGGCAGGACAAGAAGCAACAATGAATGGAAACTCACCAAGGAGAGAAGCAACCTGGAACTAAGGAGAAACTTCCTGACAGTGAGAACAATTAACCAGTGGAACAACCTGCCTCCAGAAGTGGTGAATGCTCCAACACTGGAAGTTTTAAAGAAGAGACTGGACAGAAATGGTGTCCGAAATGGTGTAGGGTTTCCTGCCTGAGCAGGGGGTTGGACTAGATGACCTCCAAGGTCCCTTCCAACTTTATAATAATAACAACAACAACAACAACAACAGTGTCTGCAATGATCCATAGTCACATGACTCCAATTTAGGATGTTTTTCTTGGGAACCAGTGTTTACTTCCAGTCCTTGTCTAAAAACCCCACAGCGAACAGCCAGGGCCTTTTCTTCTCAGCCCCTGTGTTCCCTTAACGGTAACCCCTGTGGCAAAAGAAGTATGTTTAGGTGTGTGTCGTGTATGTGTTCACTTTGAGAGCGGGCAACTAAATTTCATTTTTGATGTGTGCCATTGTGCTATCTTCTCTCATCTCATCTCCTCTTATCTTTTGCAATTTTTAACCTGGAGGCCTGCTCTTTCGCCAGCTCCTCTCTGAGTTATCTGCTCCACAGGCTATTTCTGGGTTACCAGCGTTGGCGCTGCCATTCCTGTGCAGCACCCAGGGTGCTCCCTTCCTGTTCACCCTCCTCTCTCCCGCATGGTGGGTCGCAGCCATGGAGGAGAGCCCCCTCCCCAGTCGTCGTCCTCACTGGTGATCGGTCAGCCTGGCTGCCTCTAGTCCTGGGGCTGGAGTCTTACATCCCGACTGGTTTGGACCACCTCCCTGGCAGCTGCCCGTTCCTTGGGCGGCCCGAGCAGCTTCTCCCAGCCTTGGGTCCCCCTCCCCACACATTCAGGAGAAGAAGGGTGGCTGCTCAGGGGCAGGCCAGGCTAGGAGACCTCAGGGGTCTGCAGGACAGGAGGGGGGGCAAGGAGTGTGTTGTGACGTTGCAGGGGCAAAGGGGCAAGACACTAAAACGAAGGGGGGGAGCACTAGTGTCAGCCTTGACCAAACCCTGCAATTGGTGCTGCACAATTCCTGGACCTCTGGCTGTGCCCGCGGATGGCAGGCTTGGCATGTCTCCTAGGAAGAGAGAGGGAAGGGCTGGAGGACACTTGGAGACACCTCTACAGCAGCCCCTCCTCCTCCTCCTCCTCCTCCTCGGGGACTCTGCGCTGGCGGAGCAGCTGCCCTCCCACTTGGATCCCGCAGGCTGCGCAACGGCAACGCACAGACTTTGCCAGCGCTTCTGCGGAGGGGGAGCCACGGCTGAGGGGAGCCACCTTCGCCCGGCACCGCAGGGCATGGGCCGGGAACTCCGGGCTTTCCTTTACCCCTAGGAGGGCTTTCCATTTTCGGGAGGGGAGGGCTCTGCAAGGGCGCGCTGCGCGTTGTGGGCTGCCGTCTGGGCAGGAGCGGCCCCTCCCTTCCTGGCTTAATCCTCCCCCCCCCCTCTTCTCTCCCCAGGACCGGCGGAGTCCAGCGGCAGCCCCAGCGTCCCGCCGGGCAGCGAGGAGGCGTTCGTGGCCCTGCCCGCCTGCCTGCCCGACCGGCCCGACGCCTGCGGCTCCCCCCGACCGGAGCCCGGCACACCCCCGCTGCCGCCCGGCGCGCCCCTCTTCGTCCCGCTGCACTCCGACTGGAAGGCGGCGCTGGCCGCGTGGGGGCCGGCCTGGGAAGCCCAGCTGTACGGGGCCGGCGCCCTCTTCGCCCTGCTGGCAGCGCTGGCCCTGCTGGCCCTGCTGGCGCTGCCCTGCCGCCGCCGCCTGGCCGCCCCCGAGGCCCGCCTGCTGGCCCTGCTCCACCTGCTGCTGCTGGGGGCCGGGAGTGCCCGGGCCGGGCTGCTCTTCGGCCAGGCCGACGGGCGGCGGCGGGAGCGGCTCCCCGCGCTGGCCGTGCGGCTGCTGCGCGACCTGCCGCTGCCCTGCCTGACCTCGGCCCTGGCTGCCGCCCTGCTGCTGCTCTCGCGGCGCCCGCGGGCCAAGCTCTCGGCGCGCCCCGGCCTCCGCCCGCCCTGCCTGCTGGCCCTGCTGCTGCTGGGCCACTTCTCGGCCGCGGCCGGGGCCGTGCTGGCCGCCGCGCGGCTGCCGGTGCTGCTGCTGGCCTCGCGGGGGCTCTTCGCCCTCCTGGCCGCGCTGCTCTCGGCCGCCCTGCTGGGCTGCTCCTGCCTGGCGCGGGGGGAGCCGGCCCAGATCTACGACCTTCGGAGCGCCCCGCCGCCGCCCCCCGGCCAGGGCGCCTTCGCCAGCAGCCGCCGGTGGAGCCGCGCCGCCCGCGCCGCCCTCTCCGCCGCCGCCTTCGGGCTGCTGAGCGCCGGCCTGCACGCCTACTCGGTGCTGCAGGCGCTGGGCTACGGGCTGAGCCCGGCGCTCTTCGGGCCCTGGCCCTGGTGGGCGCTGCAGCTCTCGTGCCGGCTGTGCGAGGCGGGCGTGGGGCTGCCCCTGGCCGCCTTCGGCCTCCACCTCACCTGCGGCTGCTCTGCCGCCGGCTGCTGCCGCCGCCTCGCCCCCCGCCCGGCCAAGCCCCCGCCGCTGCCCAGCAGCCTCCACTGGGCGCTGTCCCAGCAGGAGAAGCTGGCCGCGCTCGACCTGGGGGTCCGCAGCCAGTCCGACTACCTCCCGCTGTGCGCCGTGCCCCCGGAGGGGCCCCTCGAGGCCCGCCCCGCCTGGTCGGTGCTCAGCCTGGCCGCGGAGGCAGCCGATCCCACCGCCGACTTCCAGCCGCCCTCGCCCATCGACCTGCGCCGCAGCATCGACGAGGCGCTGTCCAGCGAGGGGCTCCTCCGGGGCAGCGGCGCCTTCTCCGCCTCCAGCATCCTTTCGCTGGACTCGGGCCCCGAGCGCCCTCCGCCCCGCGCGGCTTCCTGCCTGGAGCTGGAGCTGGACGACGGCGCGGCCGCTCCGCCTCCCCGCGGGGCCGCCACCCGGCCCTCCTCCCCCGCCAGCCCCAGCAGGAGCACCGCGGGGCCGCCTTCCCCGAGCCGCGGCAGCCTGCGCCCGTCTTCTCCGGCTCCCGGAGGCCCGCGCGGGCCCCCTCCCGAGCACTCCCGGGCGTCCCTGGTCTCGGAGGGGCAACCCGGGGGGGACGCGGCCCTCACGCGGGGGGAGTCGGCGGAGGTTAGCCGGCAGGCGGATGCTGTCAGTGTTGGCAGCGACACCATCGATTTATAACCCCCTGGACCCTCCCCAGGAGGGACCCCCGCCCCGAGCCTCGGATCTGGGCTGGCTGTGCGGTCGCCGGCGCGACGGGAGCGCTCCCGGCCCGGTGGCCCCTCCCTCGCAGGCGGCCGTGCAGGGGCTTCCCTCCTTGGGAAAGGACGGGGACAGGCGGGCCAGCGGAAGGCGCGCCCGGCTTCTTCCCACGTCGCTTTGGCTCCGCGCAAAGCGTCGAATCCTTGCCAGCAAAGGGGCCGCTTTCGGAGGCCCGCCAAGCGCCCCACGACTGACCGAGCTGCTCGCTGTGCAAACACGGCTGCCGGGTCTTCAGCGGACCCGGTTAAACGTGCCGTGGGAACAGAGGCGATGGGTCGGAGTTCTGCCCTTGCACAGCCACCCGCTCCTTTCCTGCCAGCGTAAAGGGCTGCCCCTCCCCCGTCTCCTCCTTGCTGGGGACCCGGCCTAGGTGGCACTGAAATGAACCCCCCCCCTTTCCCGACCTTCAAAACCAGCAAAAAGAGCGGGCGGCTCTGTTTTTTTTGGGGGGGGGGCAGGAATCCACATCCTTCTTCCCCAGAAGAGCGCAGAAAGTTCTGGAGTTTTAATAAAAGGACTTTATGGAGAGGCTGTCTGGTCTTTGTGTTTGGAGAGGGGGGGAGGGCTCCTCCACTTGTCCCACCCCTTTTAGAGCTGAGAGCCTTGGCCCTCCCCCCACGAGCACCCAGCCCTGGGGTCTTTCAAGTCACGAGCTGGCCACCCTCTTGGGATGCGGCTCTTACAGGAGATGGACAGCCCCCTCCCTGCCCAACACAACTGCCAAGGTGGAGTGAGGTCATTATGACCCACATTTCCCCTCCCAACAACCTTTTTTTTTTCCGTGGAGGGTTGTTTTCCCTCTGCGCCTATTATATTCCAGGGGCAGGCAACCTTGGCTCTTTTATGACTCGTGGACTTCAACTCCCAGAATTCCTGAGCCAGCCATGCTGAGTGGAAAGGGAGGTTTCCAAGCTGAATCATTCTGGCTCAGGAATTCTGGGAGTTCAAGTCCACCAGTCATAAAGGAGCCAAGGTTGCCTACCCCTGCCATATTCCAACTGGGAACTGGAGGCGGCCTTAGAAAACCATGGAGCATCCAAATGGATTGAGGCTGTTCTGAAAAGCCGCCTCCCCCCCCCCCAGACCAAGTGCTTTGTTTGCAACAGGTGGGATGAATCAACTCCAAGGCTGGGCAAGGGGAAGGTTGGATGGGCTCTCCTGGACGCTCTCTTGGGCAGCCCAGCTGAATGCCTCAAGGGGCTCCGTCTCTCTCCCCTCTCTGTGATCTCCTGGGTGAAGGCCAGGGCTAAAAGCTCTGACTCCTGCTCCCCCACCCCATTTCTTGTCTCCCCCTCCCCAATTCCAGCACAAGAAAGGGCCAGCCGAGCCACTGTAATGATGTTCTGCTGCTTTTATTTATGGATAATACAGGACGCAGCGTAGGGCCCTGGCATGCGGAAAATTACAGCGTTGGGAATCCAGGGTGTGTGTGTGTGTGGAAGCTGGGCCCCTCCCCTTCATAGCCAAGATCCTCTTCCCCAGAGAAGCACGGAAGCTGCAATGGGGGCTGGAGAGCCAGCACAGGAAGGCCTGGGGCTGGGGGTGGAGAAGGGCTTGGACAGAGGTGCCCCCACCCTTTTCAGCTGCTGTCCTGGATTTGGTCCCTTGCAGCTCCTTCCACCTGAGCCCACCCCCTCACCCCCCCCCAGGCCCGGGGGAGGGCCGCAAATCCTTCCCGGCTGCCTGGCCGAGGCCCAGGAGGCCAGGTCCAGCTGCACCTGCCGGGCGAGAGGCTGTGCCCAGGAGGGGAGGGCTGAGAGACCACCCAAGGCCCCCCGCCTGCAAGCTGGAGAACCCAAGAGGGGCCTTCACCCCACCCCTCGATTCTGCCCACCGCCGGGCGAGAGGAGCTGTGATCTGCCGAGGCGCCGCCTGCAGGCAGTCCGAAGCACAAGGCGTTGGCCGCAGCCAAACCGGGGGCGAGAGGAGAGGTGGGCCTGCCGGTGGGCTTCAGCAGTGGCCACTGGCAGGGGGGCCGGAGCGGTCACTGGCCGCTGCTCTGGAAGTTGTCCTCAGTACAGCCGCTTCTCGTAACTGCAGGGGGGCAGAGGGGAAAGGAGGATCAGTCCCTCTGTCCGGCAGCTGGGGGGGGGAGACCTTTTCTCCTGAAATCAGTCTCCCAAGGGGGGGCAGCAGGAAGTGGAACTGGCCCCCCGAGGAAAGCCCCAGGGTGCCAAGCAAGCCCCCTTGCTAGCTCTCCTCTAAAGGGGCCTGCAGAGACCCCCAACCCTCACCAGGTAACATGGGGAGGGAGATAGCAAATCAGGCGGGGGGAGCATAAAAGGGTCGGGGGGGGGGACAGCAGAGGTAGCTCGCAGGGGCAGCAGGAGAAGGCAGGAAAAAGGGCTGCTGTGGGTTTTGGGCCCTCAGCTGACAAGAGAAAAACCAGAAGCCATGAGCCCTCCCCAAAGGATTGGGAGCCCCTCGGATCCCCCAGGGATTTCAACCCCCCCCCATGGCCCACAAGGGGCACCAGGCATCAAAAGGAGCAGAGCAGGGCTTAGCCCCTGCCAAGGGAGCCCACCCTGGCCAGGCAAGTTCGGGGTTGGGGGGGCATCAGGCCTGGGCAAGAGAACAGCAACGTAGCTCCTTCCACTCCCCTCCCCCCCCCAGACACAGCCTCCCTGGCACCCCTGAAACCACCAGCCCCCACCGAAGAGGGCATCCCCCTGGCTCCCCCCTCCCCCCGCAGGAGGTGCTCATGGCAGAGACCAGGGTTGTGGGAAGGGCGGGCACCCCGTCCACGTGGGGGGTGGCACTGGCCCAGAGCAACTGGCCGAGCGAGGGGGGAGGGGCTGTGCAAGGCACCCAATCCACCATCCTGGGGTGATGGGCAAGAGGGCGCCACTGACCCCCATCCAGCACACCCAGGGTGGCTCGGAGTCAGTTACTTACATGGCAGAAACGTAAAGCTACAGGAAGGCAGTGGGTGGGGGGTGGGGGGCAGGGAGGGAGAGAGAGAAAAAGGGACAAGGTCAACGTGTTCCCCTCATTCGAGACCCCCACCCCCACCGCCTCACCGTCACCACACCAGCCCCGGAGCTGCTTGCTAGCTGCTGGTCCTACCACGCACAGGGCCCACGGGAGCCGCAGCGCTGCCCAACTAGCAGAAACCCCTCAGACCGGCCTGCAGCCCCCTCCCTTCTTTCCCCTGCCAGGGCAAGACCTCTTGGGACACCCCCAACTCTTCCTGCACCTCTCCACCAGGGACCAAAAGCCAGCCCAGAGCAAGAGAAAGCCTGTGCCAGGCCCCCTTTGTTCCTGGGGTGCCTTGAGGGGGGGCGAGGTCCCTGCAGGGCTCCCACATGCATCTGGAGGGGCTCCAAAGCCCCCTCCCCACCTGGGAGGACAGCCTCAGAGCTGCTCACCTCCAGTTGGCACCCAAAACAGTGTCAGCAACAGGCTAATGGGGGGTCTGGGCTAAGACAGCCAGCTTTGAGTCTCTCTTTTTCTCAAAGCTCCTCCCCTTTTACCCATCTGCCATGTCCCCCAACAAGGAATAGGACAAGAGAAACCGTCCCCCCATTTCCTGCTCCTTCACACACGAGGAGCCCCCAAGACAGGGCGGCCTCACAGCACAGCTGTTTTGGCCTTCCTGAGCCCGAAAGATGTGGGGACTGGGGAGGGGGGTGTCAGCCAAGCAGAAGCAAGCTCGAGCACCAGGTGGGGTAATCAAACTGCTCCCCCAAAGGATGCAAAAGTTTTGGGGTTCTCCAGCCTTCTTCCTACAGAAAGCAGAAAAAGGGGTAGCAGAAAGGCTGTCCATCAGGCCACGGGAAACGCTGCTGGTTGGGGGGACACCCCCAAAAGCCTCCTTCTACGAATAGCAACAGCTCTCCCCCCCCACAGAACAGTTCTGCTTGCTGAGGGAAGCCGGACCAGAGCCAGCAAAACCCTCCCTGCCAACCCCAACTTCTCTGCCCCCCAGGGCCCCCCCAGCCCAGTCACTGGCTGTGGCTGTCTGGGTGGCTACTAGCAATTCCACCTCCAAATGCCCCCCCCCCAAAAGCTTGAGCCTGGGGGCCCCACCAAGGTCACAGGAAGCACGTAGACCTTCTGCAAGATGAGCTCCCCCCACTTCCCCCCCCAGGCAGAAAAGAAGCTTCAGGGCAGAAGCTCCTTGTCGGACCTGATGGGCTTCGGGGTCCACGTGCTTTACGGTATGGGATACGTAGTGCCCATAAGGAGAAAAGGCCACAGGACAAAGTTCCCTAGATTTTTACTCCGCCGCTAGGGAGAAAAACTTCACCTAAGTTCTCCAGGAAAGCAAAGTAAGGACACAACACACAATACAGCAACTAGCAATAGTGACGGCCCTTGGACTTATATCCCGCTTCACAGTGCGGTTCACAGAGGCCCTCTCTAAGCGGTTCCCAGAGTCAGCCTCTTGCCCCCCCCCCAACCATCTGGGTCCTCATTTTGCCGACCTCGGAAGGACGGAAGGCTGGGTCAGCCTTGCGCCGGTCAGGATCGAACCTCTGGCAGTGGGAAGGCAGAGTCAGCCTGCAGTGCTGCACTTTAACCACTGAGTCACCACGGCTCAAAACTGCCCCCCCCCTTTGATACCCTGTGCCGGTGTTTAACTTCTTCAGTTTTAGTCTAATCCCACATCAATCCCTGCACCTTTCCGAGCACAGCTCTCCCTCTCTCCCTCTGCTGGGGGTGAGGGGAGCCCTCCCTCAGTGGGCCTTCCCCCCCACAAGCTCTGCAGGTGTTCCCCCTCGGGGCTCTGGAGCCCCAGAAGGCACTGCCCAAAGGGCCACTGAAGAGCCCCTGCTCAGCCCGATGGCTCTTCCCGAAAGGGGCGGGCAAGGGGAGAAGGGACTGTTTCCTGGAATGAACTCCTCGGACACTGGGGAAGACTGGAGAACCCAAAGAGCGGGCACAAAGACAGGGGAAGTGCCCCAAATAAGGCCCAGCAGGGCGGGCTTCTTCTTGCTTGTACCAGGCGTGCAATTGCCCCGGTACCTGCCCTTCAACAGCCCTTCCATCTTTTGAAAGAGACCCTCCCGCTGGATCTTTTCTCAGCCAGGCCCAAGGCGGGAGGGGGCATCTCTCTTTCCTCAGGCCAAGCGCCCCCCCAAGCGTTGCTGCTCAAGCAGACCCACAATCCCTCTGCAGCCGGACGGCCTGTGTTCCACACAACAATCCCAAAGCAGCAGACGCCCACAGAGGCTGCCTGCCCCTCAGCTCACCCCTCCCCTGGCTAAGAGCAGCGGGGCAGGCAATGGGGAGGGTGCCCCCTTGCAGGCTCCCCTTAGGACAAATGCCAAGTGACCCGGAAAGGCAGCAACTCTGGGCACTGGGTGAGGCAACGTGGCAATGGGCACCATTGCTTTTAGCACCTCCCGTTGCACACCCATTCACCCCTGGCCTTCAGAGTGGAGGATGAGGAGGGTGCACAATGCACCCCACACAGTGTGGGAAATCTAGTGCAGGCGCGAAGAGGCACCAACCGGCAAGAGGTGTTCTGGGCGCAACACTTTGCGGGGAGACAGGACAGCCTTGGGGGCTACTGGGGGGAAGGGAGAAGGAGGGAAAGATGGGGGAAGCAGAAGGGCAGGACAGGGCGACCCATTGCACAGGATGCTCCACGCGCCCAGAGGGAGGGAGGGAGGGAGGCGGGCTTGGAAGATTGGCACACTTGTCCACAAATCCTGTGGGGGGAGGCAAGGAGCCCCAGCCCTGAAGGCCGCATCCACAACCAGCAGGACATTTGGGGTTCCTGTTGAGACAAGCTGCCCCCTTGCCGAATGGCTCTGCCAATCTGCCAAGCCACAATGCATTTATTCAGGTGCAGCACAACACACGTTGGTTCTGCACACCGCACACCTCCTTGCGACTCTTGGCTCCGGCCCTGCCTCAAAAGCGGCCGCCTTGTTTGCTTGACGGAGTCCCCCACGCCCCCCAGCCCCAGCCCTGGAGCCACAAGGAGGTCTGGAGCTGGAGCAGGCAGCCTCCCCCCCTTTGCTGCACTTGTCCTCCAGCAGCTGATGGGGGGGGCTCCGCAGGTCCAAGAGCAGAGGAGGGGGGAGGGCATCACCCAGCAGGAGGCCCACCCTTGTGTTCCCTCCCTCCCCTGGACCTGCTTGGTTTGGGCATGGGGGGTGAAGGGGCAGCGGGTGGATGGAAGCTGGGGGGGAGGGGGCTTCAGGGCAGCAGCTGCAAACAAGCAGAGAGACTTACGAGTGGAGGCCATGGACTCCCCCCTCAATTTGGGCCGACATCGTCCTCTTCTCAAACTTTAGTTCCCCCGAATACATCATGGAGCTGGCAAGAGGAAAAGGAGGGGAGGGTTAGGGGGGGTCTTTCTTCTCCCCTAAGCCCCCCAGGAGCACCGGGCCTAGTGCAGATGGTGCCAGGGGGGATACCCGAGGGGTCTGAGGGAGGCTGCAGCTGGCTCAACCTTTCTAGGTACCTGGGGGAGGGAGAGAGAGAGGGAGAGAGAAATGGGGAGGGGAAACCCGGTCTAAGAGGGAACCCCAGCTAAGGACCCGAACCCAGGCCTTTGGGGGGGGACTAAGCTTTGACATCATAGGAGGGGGCAGCCGAGGGGGTGGGGAGTTCAGACTTCAGGGTGAGGAAGAGCTGGCCAAATGAAGGCAGGAAGGGGGGGCTAAGAGAGGGAGGGGCTGTCTGTGGAGGAAGAGGCGAGATCTCCCCACGGGAACCCCGGCTGGGCGGCTCCTCCAGAGGCCTTCTTGGCACAACCTTCCCAGGCTGAGGCCCTTTTGCGGAGAGGGGGAGCCCTCAGAGCCACCCAGGGCTTGAGGGACACCGTTCGGAGTCTCCTCGCATTTCCACTGGGGACGATGCTGTGCCCCCCCCACCATGCCCTCCCCCAGGGCCTCCTATTCTGGGAAGCCCCCTCTGACTCCCTGGGTGCCCTGCGGCCCCTCACCCCTTCCTCCCTCCCTCCTGCTGCCCAAAGCGGCCCTCTCAGCCCCGGGGGCCCCAGAGGGGAGCCCCCCCCATAGACTGGCCCAGCAACGCTCATGGACTCACCGCAGAACGGAGAGGCTCCTGGCGCCGATGTCCTGGCAGCCGTGCTGGATGCCAGCAATCAAGTATGGCACAAACTTGTGGATGGAGCCCTTGTCCTGGATGGAGCCGGACACGCCCTGCGCCACCTTCACCTTGTCCCCCTCGCTGCAAGGAAGGCCAGGGAGACGCTGGAGGGCAGCCCCTCTAGCCCCCCCCCCAGCTCAGAAGCAGGGGGGGCTGGGCCACCCATCCTGCGGCAGAACGACCGTGACCTCGCTCGCTCTCGGCCAGCCAGGGCTGCCCCCAGCCTGAGTTGGGGCCAATAGGGCCTGGCAGAAGAGCTGCCCGGCCTGACCAAGGCCTCCCCCACTTTGCAGGGGCTCTTTGCGGCAGCCCCTCCATCCCTCCCTCTCCCGCTGGATGCCCTGGGGCCCATCCCTGCTGCCTGCCCACGGGGGAGGGGGGCTTTCCCACCCCATCCCTCTCTTTCTCCCCCTCACCCCCCTCACCTGAAGTAGCGTTTCTGGCTGCTGCGGTTCTTCTCCATGGCGTCCAGGGAGCCCATTCCCCGGTACTTCTTCAGCCGCACCCCGTCGGAGAAGAAATACTCCCCGGGGGCTTCCGTGGTGGCCGCCAGCAAGGAGCCCATCATGACTGGGGGGAGAAGAGAGGGCCAGGTAGGGCGGGAGGCCATACCAGGGGGGGGCAATCACCCCTCAAGCAGACCAGCCACCCCTGGTCAGTCAGCCTCAAGAGAGCCCCCCCCCAACAGCACTGAGGAGGATTGGGGGGTTGGGGGGGGGCTTCGTGGCCTAAAGTGGGGCAATTAATTGGCAGCTCAAGGACTGTTTTGAACAAACTTGAGTTTGTTCAAAACAGTCACGCATTCTCGTGGCACGTATGTATGCAATACCTATTTGCAGAAGATGAGAAAACATGCATGTGCATGTAAGCGTTACGGTAGCGGTTCATTTGCCACTGACCTCCCTGTCACGGACCAAAAGGGCTCGGGTCTTTCTACCCCCCCCTCTAAGGCAACCCCCCTCACCTGTGGAGGCCCCCAGCGAGAGCGCCTTGACCACGTGGCCCACTGTCTGGATCCCGCCATCTGCGATCACAGGTACCCCAAACCGGCGGGCATACTCTGCCACTTTGTACACCGCGGTGCCCTGAGGCCGTCCGCACGCCATCACTGAGGGAGGGAGAGTCATAGGCAGGAAGGGCCCAGCGAGGGTCCGGCCCGGCCCTCGGCCGCCCCGGCAGCTCCGGAGAGCCAGGGGCTGCAGCCAGGCACGCGCAGGCGGCTCTGATCAGAGACCCAGAGAGGAGAAAAGGATGATTGCATTGCGGCCTCCGGGCACGGGAGCACCAGCCTCCGCAGCTCCTGGGACTCTGCAGCGGGTGCCCAGTGCCAGGGGCCAGAGTGGCCGGGGGACGCTCGCCTTCTGAGCGGTTCACTCTGCCTCCCCCAACCCCGCTGACCAGCAGCCCCGGTAAAGGGTGTAAAGGCCAAGGAAGGGGCTCTCTGCCCTTTGCTGGGGGGGGGCAGAGGATCTGGGACAGCCTCCCTCATTCGGTTGGCTGGGCAAAAGCCAGCTCCTCCCCTCTCCCGTTATCATCAGGGCTGCTGGGGAGATTGGGGGCTATTTTGTGGCTGCACAAAAGGCTGAGCCCAGAGGGGCCCCCTCCAGGATCCCGGGGAGCACACAAGGAATTCAGAGGCCGCAGTTTCCGAGGCAGGGGGTGCCCACACTTGGGGGTCCCAGCCCAGGCTCACCTTCCTGCGTGATGCAGATGGAGCCGCAGCCCATGCCCACGCGCAAGGCGTCCACGCCAGCATCGATGAGGTTCTTGGCCTGGGCGGCTGTCACCACTGCACGTCCCGTAGGGCAGAAAGCAGAAGGCCCGTAAGACCCCCGAGCAGCAAAAGACCCTCCAGGGCCCTCAGTCCACACCAAGGCACTCTTCTGGCACGAAGGACGGATTGCCATCCACCCCGCACCTCCCCACTCCACTCTGCAGCCTGCCTATCTCTGGCAAAATAAAGCCAGAAAATGTAAATTCAGGAATTTCTGCAAAGTCACCGAGTCTAAAGCGCCAAGAAGCCAGGAGGAGCGAGTTCCAGAAACAGCTACACACAAAAGCAATTCTCCTTATACTGAAATCAAAGCTTCTGTCTCTGCACTCCTTCTTGCACTGAGGACACACTTCTCGGGGTCCTATCCAACCCACCTGCATGGCTGGCGGTCCATCCGTCCGTTTTTTTAGTCACAGACAGAAAAAAACCTGACTGTGAGAATTTCCATGGGGTATTTTCTAAACAAACTGCAGTTCTGGGACGAAACTTTAATTCTACCAGTGTCTTCTGAATATATTTGCTTATAAGCCAATCAGGGGATAAACTGACCTGTGAAGTTTTAACCAAAATACCACGAATAATGTCAATATACCATTTTTCATGGTATTTTGATTAAAAATCTGAGGGTTTGGGTTATATAGACATCCTCAACTTACAACATTTTAAAGTTACGACACTGAAAAATGACCCTTTTCCAGTTACGACTGCAGCAGCCGTCCCCACAGCCACATGATCCAGATTCAGAGGCCTGGCATCTGGCTCATGCTTATGACGGTCACAGGGTGGCACAATTCCCTTTTGCGACCTTCTGGCGAGCAAAATCAATGGGGAAAGCAGATTCACTTAACAGCTGTGTCACTAATTTAACAACTATTGTGATCCACTTAACAACTGTAACAACAAAACACTCCCATGTGTCCTTCGGGTAAGCCAGACCCAATTTGGGGGGTGCATTTTGGTACCTAAAATTCTCGGCTTACCTGCAAGTACGGACGGTCGTATTTTTTAAGATGTCCCTTGTAATCCTGCACCTAACTGCAGGTGCCAGAAATGTGGGATGTGCAGAGCAATGGCCCCCTCCCCCCAACCAGTCACTAGGTCCCATTTGCCCCCTGGTAACCTGCTGATGAGCCGAGGTGGCGCAGCAGTTAGAGTGCAGTACTGCAGGCCACTTTAGCTGACTATGTTCAGCAGGTCAGCGGTTCAAATCTCAAGGTTGACTTAGCCTTCCATCCTTCCGGGGTAGGTAAAATGAGGACCCAGATTGTTGGGGGCAACGTAAATATATATATACATTGCTTACTGGTGTACACCGCTTAGAGAGTGCTTGCACTTAAAGCGGTATATAAGTCTCATAAATAAATAAATAAATAACCTGGCCAGGTCAGTCAGCTGGAAAAGCGTGGGTGTGTGCTGCAACTGGACCCTGCAGGGCCCCCCCAGCTGGGGAAGCAGCCTTGAAGCAAAGGAGGTGGGGGCCAAAGGAGGACCCCCAAAGCCAGTGCACCCCCCCAGGTGCTCACCATTGCCCCCGACCACCTGCAGCTCCGGACATTTGTGCTTGATATAGTGGACCATGTTGATCTGGTAGACGGAGTTTCCCTGAGAGGAGTCCTGGGGGGGGGGAAGAAAAGAAAGGAAGGGACCATCAGGCACCCAAATAGCCCCACAGGTGCCCCATGGCGCACAAGGTGAGCAGCGCCCTCTGACCACACCGACCCACAAATGACACTAAGGGGCAGAAGGCACCAGACCCCCGGGCGCCATGCCAAGGGGGCAGCGAGCAACGCCAAGCGTAGCCTTGAGAAACAGACCAGGATCCCAGCTGCACAGCTCAGCCAGCCTCAAATGCTGGGAGGGGGCAGGGGGGGGCTCGTACTTCCTCCTCTACCGGAGCAGCAGAAAGGAAGCATGGAGCCCGGGGGGGCATTCCGTGGGTGGGGGATGGGCTCGTCTCCACTCCCGGGGCTCCTGATGGCCCTGGGGAGACCGTTCAGCTGGGGGGGGAGGGGGCTTAGCGGTGGGACACAAGGCCTTCCAGGGGCTGCTTTTTGGGAGGGGGGGAGGTCAGTGGGCAGACTCTGCTCCCAGCCATGCCAGCCTTGTCTCTAAACGGCCCTTCGCTTCCCTGTTTGGGGGCAGAGTTTAGGGTGCCTGAGAAGGGGCAAAGGGGGGGCACCCTCCGAATCGCCTGGGGAGACCCCCCGGCCATTCCCCCCCCCCCGAGTCCGCTCCGCACCTACCAGCACCACCAGGTCCACACCGGCCTGCACCAGCAGGTCCAGCCGGTACTTGTCGTCCTCCCGGGTGCCGATGGCTGCCCCACACAGCAGCTGCTTGCGGGGGTCCTTGGAGGCCAGGGGGTAGTCCCGATTCTTCTTCAGGTCCGTGCGGGCGATGATGGCCACCAGCTCATCCACCTCGTTCACGATGGGCAGCTTGCCTGAAGGGCAGGGAGGCCGGCCAGTCGCTCCGTCGGGCTACGGCTCCTTCGGGCTACGGCCTCCCCTCCCTCCCCCCCTCCCTCCCTGCCCAGGGCACTGGGAGACCCCCCACCTCCCCCCATCTGAGGGCAGGAGCCCCAGAAGCCTCCCAGCCCCTCCCACCTTTCTTGCTGCGCTGCAGGATCTCGTTGGCCTCTTTCAAGGTGACGCCTGCGGGGGCCACCACCAGGTCGCTGCGTGGAGTCATGACCTGGGGGAGGGAATGGATGAACGGGTTCAGCCAGCCCACTCAGCCCCTGGAGTGGCCAGATGCCAGCTGCTGCTTTAGCCAAGGGGTGAACCAGCCCCCCCCCCAACTGGTTTGCCTTTCAGGGATGGGGGAGGATGATAGGAACAGCAACGGGGCTCCAAAACAGGGCTCAGCAGGGGCCCCAATCCAGCCAGGCCAGGGCCCCAAAGGAGGGGCTGGTTCTTGCTGGGGACCCCACCCCGCAAGAGGGCTCCTGATCCCCCGGAAGGAGGAGGGGAAGTGGGTCGCTGCATCACCTCACTGAGAGGGATGTTGTAGTCCTTCTCGGAGAGGAAGTCGATGTCCCTGGAGGTCACGATCCCCACCAGCTGGCTCTCCATCTTGCCCGTCTCCGTGATGGGGATGCCCGAGAAGCCGTGCCGGATCTTGGCCTCCAAGACGTCCCCCACGGTGTGGCTGGGACTCAGGACCACTGGGTCCGTGATGAAGCCTTGCTCAAACTTCTGTGGCCGAGGAAGGGAGGAGAGGCCTTTTCTGCAGAGCCCCCCCTCCCCACTCGCTCTCTCTGCCTTCTTACCCAGGGGAGCCTGGCGGGCAAGTCTAGGGGGGGGGCTCCCACTGCTGAGCCAGTCCCAGAGCATCCAGACGGCCCCTCCCGCCGGCGTCTCTGGGCCGGCTCCACACCCTGCCCAGCGCTCACGCGCACGACTCACAACTCCAAGGACCAGCAGCCACCACTCACTTTCACTTTGCGGACCTCGTTGGCCTGGAACTCCGGGGTGCAGTTGTGGTGGATGATCCCGATGCCCCCCATCAGCTGCAGCGGGAGAGATGGGGAGCCCTGAAGTCCCAGGGCCGGGGGGGGGGGCTGCTCAGCCCAGGCGGCAACCGTGGCTTCTGTCCTCTGGCCCCAGAGCAGAAGTGCCCCTGCTTTGGCCTTCCCTGGGGAAAGTGGGTCTGGGAGCAGCTCATCCCCGGGCATCCTCAGACCCACAGCGGGTGCCCCACCGACCCCAGAGGGTTCAGCCCTGGAAGAGGCTCACCGCCATGGCAATGGCCATGTCCGACTCTGTGACGGTGTCCATAGGGGAGGAGATAAGTGGGGTCTTCAAGGTGATTTTCCGGGTCAGAGCGGAGGTCAGGTCCTGCAAGGGAGGAGGGTGAGGGTTAGCTTGGTCTTCTGCCCGCCAGGTGTCCCTCCCCCGTCCTCTCCCAGGCCAAGCTGGAAGGCGCCCCCCCCCCTTCAGTCTTGCAGAGAAGCTAAGGCTGATGCTGCGGCAGGAGGACCTGAAACTGGGGGAGGGGGCCACCTGGGCCTTTCACTGGCAACGGGATAAAGGTGAGCGATCTGCCTCTCGGACACAGATGGCCGAGCAAAGCCACAGGAGCCAAGTTGGAGCTCTCAGCGCAAGGGAGCTGAACAGGACGGCTGTGCCCCCCCCCCCGTGATGGGTTCCCCAGAGGCCCATGGGAAGCCTCGGCTGCCCCTGCTACACTCACCACTTCATCTGCCGTGAAGTCGATGAAGCCAGGAAGGATCAGGAAGTCACTGCAGAGAGAGGCAGAGACATCACCCCATGCCCGATGCAACGGGAAGCAGGAGGCGGACCAGTCCTGGCCTGGCACCACATGCAGCCCACAGCTGATGCGGCTGCCCATCTGGTAAAGTGCAACTCTGGGCAGCTCCACAGCTAAGAAACCCAGCACCGGACCCCTCCTCTCCCATCCATCAATCCGGGGCATGCCATGCCCCAACCCCTCCCCGCTTAAAGCCACTAACTGACACCGCTGCGAGGAGCCTCCAGCTGCCAAGCCCTGGAGCCAGCCAGAGCAACGTGGAAGGCCGCCAGGAGGGCTGGGACAGCCACACCACCTCCGTCGCCAGCCCTCCAAAAGTCAGCACACCCTGACATAACCTGGCCAGAATCCAGCCAGAAACCGGTGGGCAGCAGAGGAGGAGGAGGCTGTAAGGCTGTTGGTCAGCCAAAGTACCTTTTCAGATCAAAGAGACATCACCAACCTTGTCCAGAGAGTTTTGTGTGTGTGTGTGTGTGTGTGTGTGTATGTGTGTGTGTGTTCAGTTGCCCTCCTCTGTAGCACAAATAAGAAAGAACAGGCAGCGGCAGTGCAATTTACAAGACTGGAAAGAGTTGGGGGCCTGTTTAAGCTCATCCCCCACGATCCAGCCTGTGCTTTGAACCAGCCCGTTGCCTTGAGCTAGGCTATGATTTCTCCATTTCTGCTTCCCGTGGTGTTTAACAAGCACAAAAGTTTTCTGTTCACTGGGTAGAGTTCAAGGCAGTGCCAACTCTGAACTGTGAACTGGGGATACCCCGAAAGGGCTTTGAACCTTTATCTAACTTTTCAATTTTAATACAACAGAGTTTATACATGAGAGGATGCCAGCAAGGCAAAACAAACTGTAAATCCTCAAAGAGATCAAAATTGCCGAGGTTTCCATCAGGAAACAAAGTGGATCCAAGCCAGTCTTTCAAACCCCCAAAGGAAGCTTTCCCAAAGGCCCCCCACCCCATTCCAAGACCCCTGCATCATCGCCCCTTCTCCCTTTGACCGCATGCTAAGCTTTAAGGCAGAAAAGGACCCCACCTTCTCCCTGGGCAGCCCGTGCACTCGGTGATGGGCACACGACCCTGGTGCAGGGACCAAGGGGCTGCTCCTCTATCCCTGCACAGACCCCCACTCTGAACAGCCTGGCTCAACCCTGCCCACAGGCCCCCACCCCTAATTTCTAGAGAGCCTTTGCAACAGCAGCTGACCTGTGGGGACACCTCCTCTCCTTGAAACGTGAACCAAAAGCATTTAAGTGACACATTCCACGAGGCCCGGCAGGTGCCCAAACGAAATGCAAATGAATGTCAATTTAATTTGGGACAGAGCCTAACAAACATCAGGCCCTCCTTCCCACAAGCCCAGGACTCAGGATGACTATGGGCCCCCCCAGGCTGGTGTGAGTGGGTGATCAAAAGTTCACCAGCCACCCCCCCTGCCCTCAAACAGGAGGCTCTGGGCATGCCACCTGCCAGCTTTGAAAACCAGTGTTTCGTTTAAAACATCGGTGCCCAGCCTGTCCCCTAAAGCAATCTTGACAAGTTTAAGACTTGTGGACTTCAGCTCCCAGAATTCCTCAGCCGAATTCTGGGAGCTGAAGTCCAGAAGTCTTAAACTAAAGGATTCTGGGCAAGGCTCGGCAGTCAAACATTAACAGAACCCACCATTGCAAAGAAGCAACCAGACTGGGGCTGTTTAAACCTGCCATTAAGGAGGGCCTTTATCGGCATGGGAAATATCGCAACATTTTCCCTAAAGAGATTTAGGATATTTAACAAGGAAACGTAAGTAAAACTGGGCCTGCAGACTAGGAAGGGGGCATGCAGCCCCAGCCCCCGCCAGGTTCAGGAACGCAAGAGAGACCCCCTGCCCCTAACTCCGAGGAAGGGGGCACCCCACTTCTCTGGCCCCTGGCCCCAACGGCTGTTGCGGTTCAGAAGGAGCTAATTTCAACCGTTGGTTTTCTCTGTCGGAAACGAGAAATGAAACAAATGTCCACTTGATTATAAACCTTGCTAGGCCGAGAAGAAGCAGAGCACTGAAAGTGAAACCGGAGGTGGGGGGAGGAGCGAGTCCACCTTTGCAGTACAGACCGACCCCCACAGCTGGAGGGGGGAGGCCAAGCAGGGAAACAGGTGTGGAAGGAGCTGCACACATTCAGTGAAATCAGCACAAGTTAGAAAAGTCTGGTTGTTGACAGAGCCACGTGGGACTCCTTTGCTCGCCCCCCCCCATGCATCTCACACGTGGAGAACTCCTCCCTTCGTTCCTTCCCTTTTTCCGAAACCAGGACCAAGAACGGAAGGCCTCCCCCCTCCGACAAAGTCTGCACAATGATCTGCAAAGCTGACAGGATGCTCAGCCCGCCCCCCCCCCCGGTCCTGCCTCACTTCTCCCTGCTTTGCTATTTTTGTGGGGGACCCCGCAGCAGCCCCCCTGCATGGGGACAGGCAGTGCTGGGCTCTTGCTGGGCCAAAGGAGGCACCGTCTGCTTCTACCCCTGTTGGCTGCTGAGTCCCTGCAGTGCCTCTTAGTAGGAAGGCAAGCCAGGCTGAGACCTGCCCAACCCTGGGTTCAGGGCCCTGATCTGGGGCCCAGGCCCCCCTGGGCATCAAGAGGCTGCCAAGGTGGTTGAGAAGCCCCTCCCCATCCTGGGGTTTCCCACCCTCAAAGCACTGACCTTTTAAGGCATGAAAGCCCCCAGCCAAGGGGCAGGAGGCTAAGGCCTATCCCCACCACAGGCAGCCCCAGGTGTGCAGTGGGGCCAGGCCCAGTTGCACCAGCACACATTTGGACCCGGACGTAAGCAGCACCATGGGGGCACGTAGCTGCCCCTCCGAGTAAACACGCCCGGAGCCTTAAGACTTCCATGATGATGGGGAGAAAAGCCTGGCCCAAAGACCCTCTTGGTGGCACTGCAACCCCCTGCAGAAGAGCATCTTCTCAGGGGCAGGAGGGCCGAGCCCCTGCCCTGCTGCCAACCAGGCTCCAGGCACCCCTGCCTCCACCCAGGGCCGGAGCAAAGGGATGCTGCTAAGGTGGGGGGCTCGGCTCCCTCAGCCAGCCCGTCCTGACCACATTTTGCAGGCCAGGTCTGGCTCGCAACGTTTCTGCCCAGGGCACTCTTCTCGGTCAAAGGGGTCGGCAGAGACCCCTCTAACCTGCTGCGTGGACGCGGTTCGGCCCAGACACGGCCTCCCGCAATGGCTTAGCTGGAGGTCGGGGGTGGGGGGTGGCGGAGGCACCATTAGCTGAGCAAAGGGGGGCAGCTTCTGCCCACGGCAGCAAAGGGGTCCCTCTCCCCTCCGGCAGCCGCCGCCTTCCAGCCACCACGGATAGGAGAGGCGGGCGGCCCTTCCGCGCGCTGCCTCCGCGTCGCCAGCAGCCCCTCGCCTGGACTCGCGCAAGCCCGCAGCGCCCGGCCGGCCCCCGAGCGTCGGGCCGGGCGCGGACCTTCCCAGGCCGGGCAGAGGTGCGCCCCGCTCCGCAGAGCCACGTGCGCCGCCGCCTCCCCCCACACCCCGCGCCCCCGGAGCCCTCCCACCGGGCGCCGCTTACTTGTAGGTGAGCCCGTCCGCCACGGCGAAGAGCTGCTGCGCCGTCAGCCCATCCTCGGGGACGTAGCCGGTGCCGCCGCTGATCAGGTAATCGGCCATGCTGCGCAGGGAAGGAGGGGCTGTCAGCCTGCGCCCGCCCGGACCCTTCGACCCCGCCCTGCCCGGGATCCCCACCCGCCCGGCCCGGCCGCAGCTGGGCGGCTCCCGGCGCTCCGCTCCAGGGATGCGCTGCTGCCCCCGGGGCCGCCCGAGCAGGGCGGCTCCTCCCCCGCCGCCCCCGGAGGAGGCCCCGCCGCGGGCTCGCTCGGGGGCCCCGCTCCGCCCGCCCGCCCGGATCACCCACCCGCCCTGTCTGGGCTGCGGTCCCGCGCGGCGCCCCCCGGAAGACGCGCCGTGCGAAGGCTGCCCGCTGGCCCGCGCGCCCCGCCGCCTCCCGCGCGCATCGCCCGGCTCAGTTCCTGGCTGCACGTCAGCGTCCCGGCGTCCCTTGCAGCGGCCGCCCCCGCCCCGCCCTACCTGAGCCCGGGCGGGCGGGGGGAGACCGGCGCGCGCCCGCCGGCCCAGCCCGCCGTGAGGCAGCGGCCGCCGGGCCCGGGGCTGGAGAAGTCACGTGCTGTGGGCAGCGGCGGGAGGCAGGTCGGTTCGCGCGAGGCTGGCCTGCGCTCCCTTCGGCCGGGAAGCGGGGCTCGTGACCGGGGCTCGCGTGACCTGGCTCCGGCGGCCTTCCTGCCCGCAACCGGGGCCTCCTTCAGCGAACTCCGAATCGGCTGGGCAAAGGCAGCCCCTCCCCTTGCCTGGGGCGGCCCCTCCCTGGGCCAGCCTGGCCTCCCTCGACCCTGGCTGCCCTCCCCCCGCGCCCCTCCCCGCCCGGGCTGCCCTGCAGACGCCTCCTCTGGGACTCCCCTGGCTGGACGGGCCGGTCCCGGGGTCGGGGTCTGCCCGCGGAGGGACTTGTCTGAGGGTCAGGAGGAGAGGCGGCCCTGGGGCTCCTCGTGCTGACCCTCCCCCAGGGGCCTTTCCCCCCCACCCCCAGGCTGGCTGCGGTGGCCCCGTCCTTCCCTGGCCCCGAAAGGGGCGGGGGGGGGACAAGCTCTTCTTCCAGGCCAAATTCACTTTTTTCTGTGATTTTGATTTGTCTTTATCAGATTGTTCTGGCTGTTTCTTTATTTTTCTGAGCGGCCCCTTTGAGTGAAGCCAAAAGAGAACCCAGGAACCCCCTCCTCATTCTGCCATCCAGTGGGAAGGCCTAGTGGCTACGCTTTGCCCGAGCAGCCCAGCCCAGCCTCAGTCCGACTGACGGATGGCCTGGTCAAAGGGATCAGGAGAGGGGGAAGGGTCTCGCACCCCCCATAGCCCCCCCCCGTGTGTCTCTGGCATTTGGTCTGAACCAGCTCCACCTTGGGGTTCGTGCCGCAGAGTCCAGCTGACCTTTCCCCCCCTGCATCTGCACCCCCTTCCTGATGGGCAGTGGCCACCACGAGCTCATCCGGATCTCCTGACCAGGGCATGATAGCCAGGCTCAATTAAATGCCTGCCTTCTTCCCAGACCCATGATTCCAATTTGCCCCCAGCCGAGGCTCCCCCCCCCCGGAAGGAGAATACAAAGGCTGGCACTGAGGTACCAGGAACACATGCGGGGGGGGCTGAGGGGGTCCATCTGCCAAGAAAAGGGGGGAGGAGAGAAACCTTGCTTCCCCAAAGGGCAACATCTTGGATCTCAAGGCCAAGGCCGAGCACAGAGCAGCGCTGAGAGTGGCTGGACTGAGGCGGGGTGCCACTTTCGGAGGGAGGGGGCAGAACAGGGCATGCACTCTCCAGGGTGCAGGCCTAGCTGGCAGCAGAAAACAGCAAGGCCTTTTCCACATCCTGGGCTAGGTTGACCATTGCTGCCCTGTTGAATCCTGGGAACTGTAGTTCCAGGCAGAGCTACAGTTGCTTGAAAGAACAGGTGCCTTTCTAGCACCCATAACGTTTCCCATCCTGCTCCTGTGTGATAGAATAGAAGCCCACGCCAAGCCTCGGCCGGCTGGGCAAACCTCCCAGCTGAGGAACATCAGCCCTGCCCTGCTCTGCCCTGCCCTGCACTGCCCTGCCTGTAGCTGGGCTTCCACCTGAACGGGGCGAGAAGATGTTTTCAATTCAGAACAGCGTTTGAAGAGCCATCGGAGGTCTTCTAGTCCAACCCCCTGCTCAAGCAAGAGACCCTACACCAATCTGGACAAGTGGCTGTCCAGTCTCTTCTTAAAAACCTCCATTGAGGAAGCCCCCACAACTTCTGAGGGCAAGCCCCTCCACTGCCTGATTGTCCTCACTGTCAGGAAATTCCTCCCCAATTCCAGGTTGCCTCTCTCCTTGATGAGTTTGCATCCGTTGCTTCTTGTCCTGCCCTCAGGGGTTTTGGAGAAGAGGGTGACCCCCCCCCTCTTCTCTGGGGCAGCCCCTCAAATACTGGAACGCTGCTATCATGTCCCCCCTCGTCCTTTTTTTCTAGACTAGCCAAACTCAAATGTTTTTGTCTCCAGGCCTTTGATCATCCCAGTTGCTCTTCTCTACTTTTCCCAAAGTTTCAACATCTGTTTCGTAGTGTGGTGACCAAAACTGGATGCAGCGTTCCAGGCGTGGCCTTACTAAGGCTTTATAAAGCGGTGCTAGAACTTCACCTGATCTTGACTCTGTGCCTCTGTTTATACGACGAACAAGGACTGTATTAGGTGGCTGGAGGTGTGAGGCCCGCATGGCTGCTCCAGGGCCAAGGTTCCTGCCTTGAGCCACTGCCCCCTCGGCCCCCGTTGGGCTGGAGAGGATGCAGGTCAGTGTGGCAAGAGGGCTGGCTCACCCCACAGACCTGAACCTCCGAGCTGGCAGGTGACTTGGCTGTATTCTGAGAGGCTCTTTAGAGTGCCTTAAAGTCCTCAGCAAGAAAAGGCAAGGCACTCTGATTATGCTCAGAGACCCCTGTTCCTCTGCTGGCCTGGAGCCTAGTCCTGCCACTGACAGCAATTTGGAGTTCCAAGAATTGGCAAGTGGGGATTTGTGCATCCCCCTCCCCCTCAACACACACACACACACACACACACACACACACACACACAGAGCAATTTGGAGTTCCAAGAATTGGCAAGTGGGGATTTGTGCATCCCCCTCAACACACACACACACACACACACACACACACACACACACACACACACACACACAGAGTTGCTGAACACAGGGCAGGGGATCCAAGGCAGCTCCGGTGCCCACAAGCCCTGAGGAGCTGCTGTGCCCAGGCAAAGCCTGGCCCGCTGCCCACCGTAGCTGCTCCCCCCTCCTTAGAGCCCCAGGCTGGCACAACAGGCAGCTCCGCAGAGGCTAATCCCGGCCTGGTGGGCTCCAAGCTGGCTGGCAATGCTGGAGCAAGAGAGCCTGGAAGCCCCTAGAACTCTCCATCCTCTCCATCCACACTGAGGCCAAGTTGGTGGCCTCTTGAGGACAGGCCCAAAAGACCCTCGAGCAGGTGCCCCTATGGTTAAGACTGGGGAGAGGGATGGAAGTTGGCACTCCCTCTTCTGGGAGGGCATCCCCTTGCCCAGAGGGGACAGCCAGAACCATGGGATATGGCCTCCCGGAAGCCCAAAGGACCGGGGGGGGGGCTCACTGCGTTTCTTCAACGGGGGGGGGGGTGAGGAACAGCTTCAGGACTGTTCAAAACATGCCCCACCCAGAAGGAATCTCTGGATCATCACTTTTGTTCCGCAAGGCTGGAATTTGCCCTGGTGTCCTCCCTTCGTTGTGCGTTGGGGCTGCTGCTTCATCTTGTGATTTGGCATCCTGGAAAAACCGAAAATTGGACTGAAAAATCCCAGTCAGACTGAGCAGCAGCTGACGAGGGGGGAGGGCTGGGGGGGGGGGCTTTAACTCCCCTTTGGTGAAGTTTCCCCTTCCTTGCATGGCAAACAATTAAGTGCGTCCCTTAATTGGGCCTTAAATGTGTCTCTGACGGGTGGTGAAGATTTAATCAACCCCTGACAGTCCTTCATGGTAAGAGGGGACCCCGATTCCTTCCTGCCCTTGATAGGTGGGTACTGTGTGTGTGTGTGTGTGTGTGTGTGTGTATACATGTATGTATCTGTGCAGCAGATGAACGCTTCTGTGGCCGGAAAGAGGCAATCAGGCTGCTCCTGATTTGGGGCTCCCCTGCCCCCGGGATCTCCAAGCCTGGCAACTTTAAGACTTGTGGACTTCAACTCCCAGAATTCCCCAGCCTTTCCTCTGCCATACATCCATCAGCTCAGGACGATTAGCAGGGCTCTGGACGTCTGCTGCCCCCTACTGGCCGAACTGAAAATCTCAGTCCAGCTCTCCCAGTAACAACTCTGAGCAGATGCAAACTGGAGGAGAAGAATCCATCTGGGGGGCAGGGTATGTATGTGTGTGTGTGGGGGGGTCTCAGCTGGCCATGTTTGGTCAAACGGATCACAGATCCTGACCCCATGTTCAGTGCAAGTCTGCACTCAGGATGACCTTTGAAAGAGGACTCCCTCCCCCCTCAGCAGCTTGCCTAGTGTGTGTGGAGGGGGCTCAGGCATTCCCCCCTCCCTTGGAAGAGGGCTTTAAAACCCCCCCTGTCTTCAGAAAAAAAACTCAGAGTGTCTCCCTCTGGACCAGAGGTCTCCTTAAACACCAACCGTTGGAGCACCTGAGGTTGAACAGTCTTTTCTTCCACACTGTTTTTCATTGCGATGGAGGGAGGGGCTGAAGCTGCGGCTGCCCCCCAGCCCTGCCTTGGGTCCAGCCCCGGGCATCGATTGAGAGGCTGCTGAAAACTGGCACCAAAGCACCCCTACAGGGCTTTCCTCACCCCCCCCCCACTTTCCAAAGGCAGGGGGTCTCGGTGGTCTCCAGCCCCTCTCCTCCTCCTTCCTGAACCTTTCCCACTAGAGCAGGGGTAGGCAACCTTGGCTCTTTTATGACTCGTGGACTTCAACTCCCAGAATTCCTGAGCCAGCATAGCTGGCTCAGGAATTCTGGGAGTTGAAGTCCACGAGTCATAAAAGAGCCAAGGTTGCCTACCCCTGCACTAGAGCTTTGGCTGGATTTACTTCTCAGGACCAGGAG